TCATTTCTATATTTTTCATTTAATGTTTCCGTCCATTGCCTATGTTCTATTTTCTTACATGTTTCTTCTTCAGATGTTCTGAGCAGTTCTTTCATTACTATTGTCATTTCATTTTTTGCCTGAGAGATTATTTCTGATCTGACGTCTTCTGTGGCCTGATGAAGTTGTTTCTTCACTTCCATTGCGATCATTTCAGCAACTCCAGGTGTATGTTTACCGAGTTCTCCTATGTCAGTGTCTCGTGGACTTGTTCTGAGTGGGGTGGAGTTCTGAGATTGTGTTTTAGTCCTTTGCCTTGTCATGTTTGATCCAGATGCAGAAAGCTCAGTCTACCTCTCCTCTGGCAGCTCAGCAAAGGCCACTAGTGTCCCTAGTTTTCCTGGTGGTCTTGCCCCTGAGATGCACTGCTTATTCTGGGGTTTTTCGCCAGATGGTGAAGTGTATCTAATTCCCCCAGGTCTCAGACATGGACTGTGATGTCAGCTGATGGCAGTCCATCTAATCCAGTGACCCCTTGTAGTTCAGGGTGTGTGTATGACCCAGGATCAGGTTTCACTGGTGGCTCAATCCCGGACCAGTGAATCCCGGACCCGTGGACCAGTGGGCAGTTCAGGGTACAGGCAAACCCAGACACGAACTACGGGGTCGATGGTTAGTGGACCACCTGATTCTGAGTCTCCAGTCACCACAGGAGTTAGACACAGGCCGCACCAACAGCACTCACAGGCTGCCCATGTCTGCGACCCCAGGAAGTTGGGGCACAAGCAAAGCCCAAATTCGAACGGCAGTGCCACAGTTCCGGGCACCCTCGGTCTAGTACCTCACTCTGCACTGGCTGCACGCAGAGAGGGCCAATATGTGAATCCCGGTGAAAGCAGTTCACCAGCCTTCTGAGTGAGGATCTCAGGTCTGCGCTGGGCACATAGAAGGCAGGCTAAAACATGTTTTTAATTGACATTTAAATTTAGGAGGGAAATACGTTTATTTAATAGTGGTAGAGAAATAATTGGCTTTCTTTGGTGAGAATAAACAGGCCCATCCTGTTTTCAGTGTAAATGAATGCAAACAAATTAAAGATATAAAAGTAAACAAGCAAATGAGACAGAATGAAAGGAGAAAGGACAAGAGAGCAAGCAGGAGCAAAACAGAGGGATAGAAGAAAATGAAGCCGGGTATAGTGGCACACGCCTATAATCCCAGCACTCGGAAGGCTGAGGCAGGAGAACTGTTGGAAGTTCAAAACCAGTCTGAGTTATAAAGTGAGCTCAAGGCCAGCCTGAACTGCATGGCAAGACCCTGTCTTAAAAAGACCAAAAAAAAAGAAAAAGATAAAAATGAAAACTATTTTCTAGAAGAGAGAGATCTTTGAAGTCAAGAGAAACTAAGAAGTCCAAACAAAAGGAGACAGATGTGATTTTGTAGAATAGTTTCTGACAGAAAACAGGATAAAAATTTAGACTACAAAGGACAAACAGAGAAAATGCTTGCATCATTCAAATGACAAAAGTTTCTTACTGGGTGTGATAGTCTACATCTGTAGTCCTAACACTCAGGCTGAGGCAGGAGGATCCCAAGTTCTTGACCATGCTGGACTATACAGCATGACCCTGTCTCAAAAAAAGAAAAAAAGTCAAAGATTACTATCCTAACATAAAAGTTATAAATAGATAAGAAAAGTAGAAACATGGGTAAAAAATAAACAGAAAAATCAGAAGCCATTCATGCACATGTAGTCTGTCACTGCTACTCCGGGAAGTTAAGGTGGAGTGATCAGTTGAGCCCATGATTTTGAGACCAGCCTGGGGAAGACAGAGAGACACTGTCTCAACAAGAAAAGAAAAAAAATTTTTTTTAATTTTTTAAGAAAAGAAAATTTTTAGAAAAAAAGAAAAGTACATCACTGGTTAGTAGGTAAGAAGGAACAAAATAACACTGAAATACCATTTAATGGCCATGGGCTGGCAAAAATTCAGAGAGGTTTATATTGTTCAGTGCTGACGGGAATACAAAGAACCAAACATTTGTAACATTGCATTTGAGAGTATAAATTGATGTAAATAATTGGGTATAGTGGTAAACCTCTGTAATCCCAGCAGTTCAGAGGCTAAGACAAGAGGATTGCCATGAGTTTGAAGTCGGCCTGGGCTACATAATGAGTTCTAGGGTAGCTCCAGCTACAACGTGAGACCCTGCCTCAAAAAATGAAAAGAAAAGAAAAATAAATTGTTATAAGTAATCTTATGATTTCTTATTACTGAGATTTTGCCTTTGTAAATTTATTCTATAGAAATCAATTTTATCACTTGTTTAAAAATGTATTAATGATGCTTATTGCAGAATTTTTGATACACTGCAAACATGTAAATAATTTGACTACATGTCAGAGAGAATGACTAAATTGTGGTATATAAATTATTCATTTAAGATATTCATATATGTGTTTTGACTTGAAAAATATTAAAATATAGTATTAATGTTTTAAATATATAGCGTGATGATTTTTTAATTTAAAAAGCAAGAAAATTCTGTGAGCTTTTAAAAAATGGAGAAGATAATACAGTAAAATTTTAGTGTAGCCTAGCTCAAGGTATGATTTTAGAAGACCACATAATGAGAAGTATTAAGATACTTTACTTACGTATTTCTTGTTTGACTTAAGACAGCAAGCACGTAATACTTTTTTTAAAAAAGGAAAACACAAACGCTTTAGCAACACAAATATTAAAATGCAAGCAGTACAGAGATTAGTGTGGCACCTATGCAAGGATGATGTGCAGATTTGTGAAACATTCCATATTTAGTCTTTACAATAATCAGCAGTAAAATATGTCTGCGGTTTTTGTATAATTGTATTCATTTTTAGCACATAGTTGTTATAAGACTGTCTTACTCATACTTACGTATTCTGTTTGCCTTAGCAATGTCTGACCGTCAGGAGAGCGCACTAATAGAGCTGATGGTCTGTACGATACGGCAGGCTGCTGAAGCACACCCACCAGTGGGGCGAGGTACCGGCAAGCGGGTAAGTTACCTTAGAGGCAGGTTATAACAAAGATTTTTACTGTAATTAGCTGTTAAGTATTTGAAAATTTTACTGATATTTGTATCCCTAAAAGCAGTATTTTCGTAAATTATACATGCTGTGGTGCTACATCTTTGATATCTACTAAACTCATTTCTTTTAAAAGGGCATAAAGGCTCAGGCTGACTGCTTACACAGGTGCTTAAACTCCTCTGTTTAGCTGCTATGAAATCTTTACTTAGATGAATATTTGTGTTTCTGCCCTTAGCTTCCTTATATGACTAATAATAAAGGTATTAGTTAGATGAGATACTTATAGATGGAGAGACTATTTCTCCTCTCTTGGTATGAAGAAGTAGGCAAGTACTCTGCAAAAATAACAAGTGTAAAATGGAAAACTTTATCAGAAGCATCCAGAATTTATCAAAGATTAAAAAGCAAATTCAGAAGTACTTTTCTTTAATGACAAATTTTCAGAGTCTGTGGTCTTCTTTTTCCAGGTTTATGATACATGTGTACTCCCCACACTTGATTGGGAAAATCTGTAGTTTTAGCAAAATTGCGTTTTCTGCAAATCCCAGCAGCCTTTTTGTCTGAGAGAATGGATTGAATATGGATAACTGATGAAAGTCCATAGCTTTGTTGACTGGAAATACCACACTTGGCAGAAACAAATAGGGAAAACCCACAGTTTTGATAATCTGAGGATGTGATTCTGAAAAACATTAAACTTTGTGGGGCATGTGGCACACCACTCTAATCCCAGAACTTTGAGAGGCTGAGGTGGGAGGATTATAAGATCATGCCCAGCCTGGACAACTTTTTTAGTGGTTTAACAAGACACTGTCTCAAAATTGATTTTTGTTTGTGTGTGTGTGTGCCTCTGTGTGTGTGTCTGTGTGTGTGTGTGTTTGTGTGTGTGTGTGTGTGTGTGTGTGTGTGTGTGTGTTTCAACAGGGTTTGGCTATGTAGGTTAGGCCAGTCTCAAACCTACTGTGTAGCCCAGACTGGCTTCAAACTCATGGCAGTCCTCTTCCCTTAGCCTCCCAAGTGCTGGGATTACAGACATATGCTACCATACCAGGTTCAAAATTTTACAAAAGGGGTAGGTAGTGGCTCAGTATAAAGGCCTTGGGTGCAGTCCTCTATGCTGTAAATAAAAATGAATGGGAATGTAGCTCAGTATGAAGACCTTGGATTCAATCTCTAGTACAGTGTATTCCTGCGAAGTCACAATTCACAACTCAAAGTCTCAGTTGTTGGCAATTTTTCTTTAAGACCTAATAATTGGTCACTGAAACCCCCCCACAGTTTTGGGAAACTGCATATATCCTCCACAGTTGTTTCGGCAGGAAGTTTGCAAGAAGCCAATCCAAGAGTGTTATTCAGTTCTCCCTGCTGCTGATTGGCTGCTGCCCTGTAACTCTCAGATGCACCTGCATTCCTGCATCTTAACAGGTTGCTGTACTATGTAGCTATCTCAAGTGTTTTTTGTTTTGTTCTTAAAGCCCTAAGATGCCACCAAAATGCCTGCACCTTCTCAGTCTTTATTAAATTACATAACTGTGGGAGACAGCATATTTAGGATTTAAACTATGAAAATAGACCATGTGTAAGCAATGTATTGTCTCAATAGTATAAGAACCTGAAAGAGTGAATAAAAATTAGGTATGATAGACACTGTGAAAGGAAAGGAAAACGCTCAAAAGTAAAGAACAATTAGGGTGAGGGAAAAGAGACAAGAAAGTGGCTGGGGATTTAGCTCAGCAGCACAGCGCCTGCCTGGCAAACGCAAGGTTGTAAGTTTGATTCCTGGTACCGGGGGAAAAAAAAAAAGAAAAGAAAAGAGACAAGAAAGAAGGGAAAATTATGTATGTATGTATGTATATCCAGGATAGCTAACATAGTTGTACTACTGACTTC